GGGCTCCACCTCACCTCTGCCAACTCTGGATCAGACACTTGTATGTCGGGAATGCTCGGGGAAGTCTTGACATGAACTCAGCCTTGTGGAGCTGTTTATTTTTTAAAGTTATTTATTTATATTTTTTGGGGAGAGTTTTTTGCTATAGGGTGCGTGCGCTCGCCAGACAGAGAAAGAGACGGAGAGACAGAAAGCGAGAAATCACCCCCCAGGGGGGATGGCCACGCCACAATCCCTTCTCCTCCATTCTCCTCTCGGGATCTTGGGCACGCACGCACATGCGCCCGGTGTGAGTTTAAGCCACCAGGTCTGGGACGTGAACCGCAGTCGACTACATGGGAGTTCAGCGACATAGCCATTACGCTAACTGCTGGTCCCTATTTATTATTTTTTAATGTTTGTTTTTGGACATACATGCTCACCAGAGAGGAAGTGAGAAAGGAAGCCACCGGTCCAGGACTTGAACTGTAGTTGACCATGTGAAAGTCCAGTGCCTTAACCACCATGCCACCTGCTAGCCCCTGGAGCCTCAGGTTTGACAGCTGCACCCTTGTCTGGCTTTGAGCTGTCCCCTCTCCATACAGCATCACCTGCAACAGGATGTCGTCAAAGGTCTTCTTGGGAGCTATGCTGCAACGTCCTCTTTGTACAATGTAGTATTAAGGTCATACAAGGGGATTCTGGACAATTATAAATCAGTAAGAGAAATTATGTAAGTAGCTGTATTGAAATTATAGTGCCCCCCTTTAATATCCTTGCCCTACTGCCACAGAATTTTCTGAGACGCAAAGGAGAGAAAAATGTGAAGGGAAGCACTGAAGGTCTCCCAAGACTTCTGTCATTAGACAGTATCTTTTTTTAAAAAAATTTGCTAGTATGCACAGACCAGAAAGAAGGAAAAAGCACCCCCCAATGGAGTGTAGTCACACCCCAACTCCCTCTTCCATTTCTCCACCCTTTTGGGATTTCAGGTGCACACACGTGTGCCCAGCATGTTTTTCAAGCTACCAGGGCCCAGGATTTGAACTGGTTGGCCATGTGGGATGCAGCACCTTTAACTACCAGGTCGTGGGGCTGGCTCTTGGAAATGCCCCTTTAAGCACACTCCGTCATCACTGCTATTCAAATGCATAAAGCAGTCAGTTATGGAAAATCGTGGCCAATTTGGAGTGCATCCCTGAAAGCTAGGTTGGGGGATTCTGAGTTTTTTGCCTAACCAGCTTGAATTCAATGCATTTTGTCACCAATGTTAATGCCAGTCCAGGGTGCCAATCTCAGAGAACACAGGGTTCTACTCCACCTCACTGAAAGCTGAGTTCGAAGTGCTGCTACTGTCAAGTAAATAAGAACCATCCTCTGATATTCCCTCTGCTTTGGAAGGCGTGCAGGCTCCTAACTTACTGAGAGCACAGATTTATAGCAGATCATGTTCCTGTGGCTCATCCTCAAGTTCCCTAATGTGATGGTTATCTGCCTAGAAAAAACACGCAGGGCTAGCAGATAAAACTCCCATACAGCCGACCGTGGTTCAAATCCTGGACACGGGGCCGTGGAATTCACACCGGGTGCGTGTGTGCCCAAGATTCTAGGGGAATGGAGAAGGGATTGTGGCATGGCCATCCATCTGTCTCTGCAGTGAGTGCATGTGCCCTATGGCAAAAAAAAAAAAAAAAAAAAAAAGCAAACGAAAGAATGATTTTTATTATAAATTCTTAAGGTTTCCATCATAGGGTGTGTTCACTTGCCAGAGAGGAGAGACAAAGACTGCGAGAGGGAAAGTGAAAAATCAGCCACCGGGAGGGATGGCCATGCCGTAATCCTTCTCCTTCTGGGATTTTGGGCATGGAAGCACACATGCCTGGTGTGATTTCCAAGCCACCAGATCTAGGGCTTGAACTGTGGTTTGCCATGTACGAGTCCAGTGCTTTAACCACCATCTGCTGGGCCCTCATCACAAATAATTTAACAGCAAAGAGGGAGGAGTGTAAATCAAATCTAGGGATAGAGCAAAGAATCCAGAATAGGGTGCGTGGAACGTACACTGCCCTGTGTGCGGACTGAGACGTAACACCCACCAGAGCAAGGGGTACCACTGTCCCACCGTGCCACTTCCTCCGCAGTGTGAACGCCAGGGTTCACAGCAGAAGAGACGCTATCTCCTCAGGCCTTGCCTTCAGAGTAAGCAATGATGAACATCTAATACAATATGCTACTTCAGAAAGAAAAAACTGTGCCAGCAGGTGGTGTGGTGGTTAAGGCACTGAACTCCCATACAGTTGACCACAGTTTGAGTTCTGGACCTGGTGGCTTGCTTTCTCACCTTCCCTCCCTCTCTTTCTTTGGTGAGTACCTGTGCCCTATAGCAAGTTAATAATAATAAACAAAATTAAATAATTGTATTAAAAAAGATTAAAACCTTGGGAATGGAGGTCAAAAAAAAATTATTTTTTTAAAAGGGGCCGGCAGATGGCATGGTGGTTAAAGGCACTGGATTCCCACATGGCTTACCATGGTTCAAGTCCCAGACCTGGCAGCTTGCTTTCTCACTTTCCCTTTTTCTCACCCTGTCCTGCTCTGGTCAAATTAAAATAAATAAAATTCAATAAAATAATTCTTTTTAAAAAATAAGAAGGAAAGAAAAAGCTGGGCCAGCTGATGGTGTGGTGGTTAAGGTGGCTGGATCTCACATGGCTGACTGCCTGGTTTGAGTCAGATAAGGTGGAAAACACTCTGGGCATGTGTGTGTGCACCAAAGTCTCTCAGGAGAGAGAAATGGAGAAGAGACTGCAGCATGACCACGTCCCACGGGGAGTGCTTTCTTACTCTCTCTCTTTAGTAAGCAAACAGACCCTTTGGCAAACATTATAATCTTTTTAAAAAAAAGTGGGGGGAGGCCCAGCAGATGGCATGGTGGTTAAGGCGCTGGACACTCCTACATGGCTGACCATGGTTCAGGTCCGAGACCTGGTGGCTTGCTTTTTCACTTTCTCTGTGTCTCTCTCTGGTTAAATTAAAAAAAAAAAAAAAAAAAAAAAAAAAAAAAAAGAAGAATAAAAAATTTTTTAAAAAAGGAGACCAGCAGATGGCATAATGTTTACATGGCTGGACTTCAACATGGTTGACCATGGTTCAAGTCCCGGACCCAGAGAGGCCTGAAACTCACGCCAGGCATGTGTGTGTGCATGTCCATCCCCCCAGGGGGTGACTTCTTGCTTTCTGTCTCTGTCTCCCCAGTGAGTGCATGTGCCCTACAGCAAAACTAGACTTACTTACGTTCTACATATTTATTGGCGGGCACAAGGAAATTTCATTTCTCAAACTAAAACTACTCTAAAATCATTCTACCTTAAAAGGCAGAATTCATTTCATTCACTGATTAACAACAACAAAACAAAACCTCTTATTTTTCCAATGATCTAGTTCGTTATAACAAAGCTGCTTCACCCCCTGCCTTTACCCAGTGCCGACTGCGAGCTGTACACTGAAGAGGGAGACCGTTGTCTCTCGCCAATGTTCTCAGGCCTCATTTCTTCAAGCTGGGCCTACCATAGTTTTTCCAACCGTAACAGCTTTCCCTGAAGACGATTTAAACACAACCAAGAACAATGGAGAATCATTTTGGTCATTTTTTTTTCTTGATTTATTTAAGGAACACAAAGTACAGCTAAATGACTTTTTAAAAAAACAGATTTGTTTTCAGTTTATCATATGCTGACTCACCACTCCATGTGCGGGCTAAAAGACGCTTCCAAGACATCTGATTTCTACACAAATTGTTTAAGATCAATGAATTCGATACAAGGACATGAGAAGTTTCTTCTCCCTCGTGGTGACAGGCACCTTGTAACTGGGTGCCCCTCCCCCATACCAGGTCTGCCAGTCCCTCTGGTGACCTGTCACACACACTCCGGAGACAAACAGGCTGGGGGTCTGCTGACTTTTGGAATAGCTCTCTTGTCTGTTACCTGCAAAAGCAAACTCCTTCCTGGGATCAAATTTCAATCGTGGCCAACTGAGAGTCATGCTCTAGTCAAACAGAACTACAAATACTACGCAGTGAAACAAACACGCAAAATCAATTTTTGCTCTTCATAACTAGGTGAGATTAGGGCTTTTTTGAATTAAAGAAATCAGGGGATTTTTAGTTATTACTAAGGGAAAAAAACTTCACAACTTAATTTCATTTGTTCCACGGGGAAGAAAACGGATATACAAGGAAACGACTTGAATTCTAGGTTCTAGGTGAGTTTTGAACTGACGACGAATGTGCTTTGTTAAAACCACCACGAAGATCCCCAAACTAATCTCAAATATAACTGCCGGTGTTCGTTAGGAGTTAAGAGTGAGATGTTCAGGTTTCAGCGAATGGTTCTTCGGGTTGCTAAATGTCCTCACTCACGAGACTGTTTCTCCGACTGTGGGAATAGCCACGCAGTGCTGCTCACCCATGAAGGACTACGATTCAACTACACGGACATATTTAAGACTTGCCTAATTCAATGCCCAAGTACTGGAGGTGTATGCTAGACGGAGCTGCATGGCCTGGGAGGCGGTCTTAACTCCTTCACGACTCACACCAGAAAGAAGCAGGTATCGGCGCAGGGAAGCGACCTACCGCGAGTCAAGCCTGCAGATAAGACAAGTCCTTAATGTAGAAGAGCAATGACTTCATTTTTAACCCCACGGATTTTGTTTTTAAAAATTAAACTACTTAGTAGTAAAAAGTCCATTTTTTTTGCATGATAGAGGAGTGTACATAGCTTCATAAACCAGTATATATGTTTATAAGCCAGTCATTTTAAAAAGAAGGCAAGAAAAGCTTCATCAATCCTAAACGGATAAGTAAATAAATCCACTCCAGGTCAGAGATATAAGAACAAGGCTTACATTCTTAACAGCAAGGATTAGAATGGAAACACGAAGCTGGACAGTAGCTACGCTAGCAGGAAGTACGGTGTATTCAACATTATTTCCTAAAGGAATAGAGGAGGAAAAAAAAGCACAATTGTGATTGCTCTTTTCACATTTCAGCATCTCAGAACTCCATCCAAAACAGGGACGCTAATCCAGAAACTCCCGTCTGCTCAATATCATCGCGAAGGGTGTTTAGACAGAATTCCTCCCGGGCGGGGTGGGGGTGTGGAGAAAGCGCTCACAGGAGGGTGGCGAGGAGGCGGTCTGGGAGGAGCTGCGGCAGCCAGCAAGGGGCCTCTGAGGTTCTGGCCCCAAGTCTGTGACGCTGCTGTGGAGCCAAGGGGACAGGAATGGCTTGAGCCCTCTACTATGGGTTCTTTGGGTTAAAAGTGCAACCTTTCTGCATTCATAGCTCTGTAGCCATTAAAAAAAAACAAAACCTCACCCTCCTTCCCCCATCCCAGCCGCCTGTAGGAAAGGAGAAATTCATGAACGTTTTAAAAAAGATTTTTGCAGTGCTCTGAAAGTTCAAATGTAAAACTAACAGATAGCCCAAATCATGGGGTGACCTCCCCGACCCCGACCTGGGTGCTGAAAGCTGACATACACTGAAATGAGCTGGACTGAGCTGTTGGCTCGCTCTCCACACCAACAGCCACTGGTTTTGTTCCACCTGGAGTGGTCCCACGCCACCCGCCTCCGTGAACCTAGGCAGCAGCAGGGTGGTTGTTTGGGGGAAGCTACTGGTTTTGCCATCTGCTTCCAGAATCACACAGACTAGAACAAACTTGACGTGAAACACTGTGTAGTCCTGAGTTGGGTGAACGCCCATTGAGGAGGGGCCGAGCGCATTAGGACTCCCTTCCCTCCCTGGCGTGGCGTCATACGCGGCGGCCTTCAGTTTTCTCTTGCTCCATCGCTTGGCTCCCCGTTCCTTTTTCTTTGGTGACCCCTTCCGAGGTCTTCTTGCCCATTGCTTTACTGGCCTCTTCCTGAGGAGACAGTAAGAAATCAAGAGGGTTAGAGGAAAGAAGTGAAGTGAATTTAATTCCTGGCTCTGCCAGTCCATTTATCGGGTCCCAAACAAGAGTTGTTCTCCCCGCCGCCCAGCTGGAGTCAGGGCTGGGCTACCCACAGCCAGCTTCCACTTCTCTTCGGTGAACATGACTAGCTCGTTCAGGGCACCGCTGCCGACTCACGTCCACAGGATCCTAGAGCTGGGAGTGGAGGACGCACTCGGGACCAGAGCACAACGCTGACCTCAGGAAGCCAGCCTCTCACACAGACTCTCCACTCCACTCACCGAGCTGGGTCCCTAGCCCCAAGGCAGAGAGCAGGAGGGGGTCTCCGATAACATCCTCTTTTCTAGAAAGACTCTAAGTCTAAACAAGAAAGTATCACTAGGAAATACAAACCTGATGGGTTATGAGTTTTTTTTTCTTTTTCTTTTTAATTTGACCAGAGAGGGACAGAGCAATAGAGCAAGAGAGAGAGAGGGAAAGTGAGCTAGCAAGCCGTCAGGTCTGGGACTTGAACTGCAGTCGGTCGGCCACGTGGGAGTCCAATGCCCTTAAACCACCGCGCCACCTGCTGGCCCCAAGGTTTATGAGCTTTTAAAACCAGCAAAGATTTAGAATGTATCAAAGGAGTTTTTTTTCCCTCACTTCTCATGTGGCCGTGCCAGGGCTTCACAAGACTGAGACAGCACGGCTGGAACCTGGGGATCCAGACCAGCCTTGGATCAGACTGGAAATGGTTCCCTATTCCTGAGCCACTCCTGCACGGGACCTTCCTGGAACAAAGACCTGAGGGGCAAGGCCAGCTCTTTTTTTGCTACAGGGTACATGCGCTCGCCAGAGAGACAGGGAGACAGAAAGTGAGAAATCACCCCCCAGGGAGGATGGCCACACCGCAATCCCTTCTCCTCCATTCTCCTCTCGGGATCTTGGGCACACACGCACACGCGCCCGGCGTGAGTTTAAGCCACCGGGTCCGGGACGCGAACCACAGTAGACTACATGGGAGTCCAGCGACACAGCCATTACGCCAACTGCTCCCAAGGCCAGCTCTTGCTCTCCGTCTGCAGACCTGGGCTCTGCACTTGCCTTGGCGTCCTGCTCTGCGAACTTCTTGAACATGTTGGCGTAGGTCCTGCGGTCCCGCTCGTTGTGCTCCTTCGCTTTCTTCTGGCACACGGAGATCTGCAGCCGCGCAGCTTTATTCTGCGGGTTTACTTCCAGCACCTTCTCAAAGTCGCCCTTGGCCGACTCAAACTCGTTCATGAGCAGCTGGGCCTCGCCCCTCCTGTACAAGCCTTTCTCGTTGGCACTGTCCAATCCAAGGGCCTGAGGAGAGAGGCCTACGTTTTAGAAAGGGTGAAAGCAATAACCTTCTCGTTTGTGGGAGCATTGATAAGAAATTCAGTAGTTAAAGAGCTTACCAAAGCTTTCTGGCGAAGGGAGAGGGAAAAGGATTACTGAAGAGGGAACATGACTAGCTCGTTCAGGGCACCGCTGCCGACTCACGTCCACAGGATCCTAGAGCTGGGAGTGGAGGACGCACTCGGGACCAGAGCACAACGCTGACCTCAGGAAGCCAGCCTCTCACACAGACTCTCCACTCCACTCACCGAGCTGGGTCCCTAGCCCCAAGGCAGAGAGCAGGAGGGGGTCTCCGATAACATCCTCTTTTCTAGAAAGACTCTAAGTCTAAACAAGAAAGTATCACTAGGAAATACAAACCTGATGGGTTATGAGTTTTTTTTTCTTTTTCTTTTTAATTTGACCAGAGAGGGACAGAGCAATAGAGCAAGAGAGAGAGAGGGAAAGTGAGCTAGCAAGCCGTCAGGTCTGGGACTTGAACTGCAGTCGGTCGGCCACGTGGGAGTCCAATGCCCTTAAACCACCGCGCCACCTGCTGGCCCCAAGGGTTATGAGCTTTTAAAACCAGCAAAGATTTAGAATGTATCAAAGGAGTTTTTTTTCCCTCACTTCTCATGTGGCCGTGCCAGGGCTTCACAAGACTGAGACAGCACGGCTGGAACCTGGGGATCCAGACCAGCCTTGGATCAGACTGGAAATGGTTCCCTATTCCTGAGCCACTCCTGCACGGGACCTTCCTGGAACAAAGACCTGAGGGGCAAGGCCAGCTCTTTTTTTGCTACAGGGTACATGCGCTCGCCAGAGAGACAGGGAGACAGAAAGTGAGAAATCACCCCCCAGGGAGGATGGCCACACCGCAATCCCTTCTCCTCCATTCTCCTCTCGGGATCTTGGGCACACACGCACACGCGCCCGGCGTGAGTTTAAGCCACCGGGTCCGGGACGCGAACCACAGTAGACTACATGGGAGTCCAGCGACACAGCCATTACGCCAACTGCTCCCAAGGCCAGCTCTTGCTCTCCGTCTGCAGACCTGGGCTCTGCACTTGCCTTGGCGTCCTGCTCTGCGAACTTCTTGAACATGTTGGCGTAGGTCCTGCGGTCCCGCTCGTTGTGCTCCTTCGCTTTCTTCTGGCACACGGAGATCTGCAGCCGCGCAGCTTTATTCTGCGGGTTTACTTCCAGCACCTTCTCAAAGTCGCCCTTGGCCGACTCAAACTCGTTCATGAGCAGCTGGGCCTCGCCCCTCCTGTACAAGCCTTTCTCGTTGGCACTGTCCAATCCAAGGGCCTGAGGAGAGAGGCCTACGTTTTAGAAAGGGTGAAAGCAATAACCTTCTCGTTTGTGGGAGCATTGATAAGAAATTCAGTAGTTAAAGAGCTTACCAAAGCTTTCTGGCGAAGGGAGAGGGAAAAGGATTACTGAAGAAATGGGACTCAAGATAGTTATGCACTGCTGATCAAGATACACTGAATGAATTTCTAGAAAGGTCCCAAGGTGAGCTGGGAGGGGGTCGGACATTTTAAAGGCCATTGGGACAAATAAATGTCCAAAAATGGCTGAAAACATTTTAGGAAAAAAAAAAGAGAAAATGATGAAAGTAACTTGTCCTGCCGGAGAAAAAGATTTATTATAAAACTACTGAAATTAAATAGTTGGGTTACTAGTACACGCATAAATAGCTCAGTGGAACAGAATAAAGCACTACGAAACAGATGCGTGTGTATGTATATGAAAACATTTAATACTGGGGCCAGCAGGTGGCGTGGTGGTTAAGGGCACTGGACTCCCACATGGCCGACTATGGTTCAATTTCTGGACCTGGTGGCTTGCTTTCTCACTTTCCCTCTCTCTCACTGTCCCTCTCTGGCGAAATTAAAAAAAATAATAATAAATTAAATAAAATAGGGACCAGCAGTTAGCGTAATGGCTATGTCGCTGGACTCCCCCGTAGCTGACG